GCTCTTCTTACCGGTCTTCTCATTTTTCTATTTGCTTTTTTTCTCCTTTCTTTCTTTTCGTCGTTGCTCTCCGCGCGAAAGCTCGCTCACCACCTCGCTTGTTACCTCGGTTTTGCTTGTCTTAATTCTTATGCCTCGCCGGTGTTTTGCGAGTCTCGTGGAAAGGCAAGGCTCTTGGATAGATCTTGAAAGTTGGATGTATCATGGAGGAATATGGAGGATGATAGATCTCTTTGAGATTGGAAACATCGACGAATGCGAAGAAATTGAAATGAAGAAGCTATGTAGTGCAAGGAAGAATAAAGGAGATTTTATTCTACTTTATAATAGGGAGGAACAGCTCGAATAGTCGAGCAACTGCGTATCATCGAGGTGCTCAACATAAAAGATTGATTTCGAAAATATTCTCAATCTCATTGTTGAAAAAATTATATTGAATCAGATCGTTTTAAAATGATATCAACTAATAGAAAAACTCTTCTTGCGTATAATTCTTATCATTGTATGTACGTAAAATTTATAATTATAATACGCATGAACATCTTTGAAAAGGAACAACAACTTGTACATACGAGTGTAACTCAAGATATTCAAATCCCTCACAAATTTATAAAAATCGTAAATGTACATGTAATCATCGCATTCAGTATTATATCGTAAGATTTATCGTCTCATTCGTTATCTGTCATTGAATAAGCATTATTTATATTGAATAAATAGCATTAACAAAAATCACGCTTCCTCAATTATCTGCGACCGGATGCACCGGTTGATGTTTAAACCGCGGGAAATCTGGGTCGTCGCGCGTCATTCTAGGTGAAATTTCTTCGGCTGTCGAAGACTGGACGATCTCAGTCTCGAAGTGAGTTATTCCACGACGTTCGATGTTGGTTCTCGAGCGAGTGGAAAAACCGCTGTCGGCTGGTAGCGCGTAGCTCGTTCCCTTCTCTTGAAAGATGCAACTTTCGTAACGAGCGAAAGTGACGCGCGCTCTCGATCGTTTTGCCTCCTCCTCCTCTCCGTCTCGAGATGTCGTTCCTTTTTTCGTGATATTTGGAAAGCGCGGCGTGAAACACGTTGACGATGCCTGGCTTCCGTCCATCGACGGAAGCGATTTCCGTGGAATAATGCATCGCGAAAGAGGCGCTCGCCCGGCCTCATTACCATAATTCCAAGGAAAACGATCTGTCGAAGGTACTCCTTCAGGGGAAAAACGCGGAGAAATATGTGCTCAAGTAGCGAGCGTGCTTGTTGAAGCCTTGCTTCGTTTCCTCGAACGTTTATCGTTTTAGAACGCGTAGCGAGATACATATATTTGTGAAAGTGCGCACGTACTACGGATATTTGTGCGATTCTACAGATGATCGAATTTAATAATAAATAATACAAGTTTAAATCGTAAAGTTGGAAAGGACAGGATCTAAAGAAAAATTTGTTTCGTCTACTAAATATTATAATAATTATTTAGCTTAATTTAGATATTTTGTATATTTTATTGTATATTTCTGTAGCCTTATAGTAATTATTAAATAATTTAGTAACTTGTAACTAGACCGCGAATTTATAATATTATTATTTAGTTTAATTTGGATATTTTGTATATTTTATTACATGTTTCTGTAGCCTTAAATAATTATTAAATAATTTAGTAACTTGTAGCTAGGTAGCGAATTTATATTATTATTATTTAGTTTAATTTAGATATTTTGTATATTTTATTACATGTTTCTGTAGCCTTAAATAATTATTGAATAATTTAGTAACTTGTAACTAGACCGCGAAATTATAATATTATTATTTAGTTTAATAATATCATTTAATTTAATTTAGATATTTTGTATATTTTATTACATGTTTCTGTAGCTTTAAATAATAATTAGTAACTTGCAACTAGACCACGAATTTATAATATTATTATTTAGTTTAATAATATTATTTAGAATAATATTATTTAATTTAATTTAGATATTTTGTATATTTTATTACATGTTTCTGTAGCCTTAAATAATTATTAAATAATTTAGTAACTTGTAGCTAGGTCGCGAATTTATATTATTATTATTTAGTTTAATTTAGATATTTTGTATATTTTATTACATGTTTCTGTAGCCTTACAGTAATTATTGAATAATTTAGTAACTTGTAACTAGACCGCGAATTTTTGCGCGTTGGAACAAATTCTTTATCTGGCTCTGGCTTTTGATGAAACTCGAAAGTGAATGAAATCGATTCGATCAGTTTCTTTTTTTTTTTTTTTTTTTTAAGTCGCGTAAGTATTATATTGCAACAAGTCGAGGAAATACGCGAAATACGTGGAACACGTGAAACGCACTTGCGCTCACTCTCTTGATGAATGACCGATTTAAGATTCCTCGGAGATACACGGTACCTCCACGGTTCACGTGACTTTCCTTTCCACCTGAATGGCTGCCACTTCTGTTTCCCTTTCTCTTTCTGCAGCCCTTCGATCCACGTTCCTCTTTTCACTCCTCCCGCTTCTAACCCCTCCACTCCCTTTCTGTCGTTTTTCCTATCCGTGGACGGTAGCTCCTAAATCTTCCTCTAAACATAATAATAGAGTTTGAAGAGGATCTGGCGTGCAGCAGCGGCGTTGTTGGAAAGTTTGATTAGCTGGCTGGATGAAGAGGATCGCGTCTCGTTCCACGAGAGAGACGCAAACGCGGGAGATTGCTTTTCGTGGTTGATATTCCGCTTATGTTTTCTCTGGAATGTCGGCGTCGATGGACGCCGCCGGAACTTTTTTAATAATTACCTCGTTCCGTCTTTCCCCTCCACCTCTCGCTCTTTGTCCGAGGATCGAAGGGGTGGAGGAACTGGAGGAACATGTTGGATAGTTAATGAGATTATTATGCAAAATTGGAGGTGAAATATATTTTTTATTGATACTTTTTTGCTTTTACTTGCGTGTTTTTTCTTAAATTTATTTTTATTAATCGAAGCTGAAGTCCTCTCGTCGAGAAACGAAGTGTGAATATTATAACGGGGTTGGAAATTGAATGGAAAATTGGAAAAATATGTTAGAAAGTTAATCAGACTATTATACAAACTTGGGAGTAGAAATATATTTTTTATTGATATTTTTGTGCTTTTATGTACGTGTTTTTTTTTTTTAATTTTTATTTTTATTCGTCGAAATTGAAGTCCTCTCGTCGAGAAACGAAGTGTGTGGATATTACAATGGGAAGCCTGAAGGAACATGTCAGAAAATTAATTGTTATATAAAATGGAGAATGTGAATCTTTCTCTTTATAGTGATTTTTTTGTTTCTATTTAATATCTTTTTAATTTTATTTTATTTGTCGAGGCGAAGTTCTTCTCGCCAGAAGATATTTTAATGAAATTGAAGAAAATGAGGCGAATAACGAAAAGGTACAGGCTAGAGAGTTAACATGTAAAACAGATGAAATCTTGTTTCATTAAATTTATTAAATTAAATTCCTCTTGTCGGAGGATCGAAGTATGGAAGGATGAATAAGCGTTAATGAAATTCGATAAAAATCAATGTTATCTATAATACTTTCATTTATTGAACTAAAGTTTCACTCAGATTAAATTGTGGATATTACAACGAAGTCAGGAAGAGGTTGGCTGGGAGAAAAGAAAGGAAACCGACAAGTTAATAAAACTGATATATAATGGAGAGATATAAAATCACCTTTTACTAAATTTTCGTCTTTTTATATACATTCCTTTATCTTCATTTATTGAAACGAAGTCTTTGCTCATCCGAAGCTCCAATATAGATATTACGATAAGGTGAATGAAAATAAAAATTGACCAGAGATAACAAGAGGAGGTTATAAATAAAATAGAAAATGGATCATTTTTTTTTTATTCCTCTCTCATGTATCAATATCTTCTCTTTTCCATTTCACTAACTGAAAAAAAAAGAAGAACAGTCAAATTGTAGCATCTAGACAATGAATAAGACACAAGGTACAAGAAGAAAGAAAATTAATTTCTGTTTGTCAGTTCTCTGCTTCGCTGCACATTTTTATTTTCATTTACCAACTGACTTTACCAAAGTACATCCGCATAAATACTCCGACGAGGTTAAAGATCGTTGAATAAGTTGGCAAGTTAACGAGATCGATGAATAAAGGATATAGTTACGTATACATATAAAAGTACATAAAAGTATATATATTTTTTCGCTGCACGACACGTTCATCCGAGGTTGAACCGCTCGCTGTACAATGTTCAATCTGTGTCATCGATATTCATATTTCTCCGGTTGCCAGTACATATTTCTCCGGTGTCCGCCTACAGCCCGGCAGTTCTGTATGCGCGTCGCTGTCGTGAAACTACGTAGAAAGTCTTTGTATCCGATAGAAATAATAACGACGTCAGAAGTTCAATGCAACGTGACGAAACGCATAATGCACGCGACGAAGTGTGACTCCTTTGGATTCATTCTGATCTCGCCAGCGATTGACTTGAAGGCGAGAGAAGTACACGGTTACTTCTTTCTCTGCGTGTTATCCTTTCTCCGTGCTATTCAGACAGAGAACATATTCTTTCATTCACAGTCTATATTCAACCGGTGGGATGTCAATAAAAATTTCTAGCTTCGAGAATTCGATTTATCCGATACACGAATGTGTTTGAAACAAAGCGAGTTTCGTGGTTATTTAGATAGTTATGATATTAATACTTGATCGATTGGGTCGTAACGTTAATTTCCACTTTTCTTTATGCCATGTTGTTTAAAACTTTTACGTTACAGTAAAATATTAGGCGTTATTTTAGTATGCCTCTGCGTGACAATAAGTAAACAGTGTTCAGTTTGATAAGCCAATAGATAAACTGTTAATATCGACTGTATTTGCTATTTATAGGTTTTAGTTTTACAGAGAATATCAAGTTGCAAGCAATAAGTATTAGATAAGTGATAGTAATTATTTGGAGAGTTAATGATATACAACTACCAGTTATCGATCAACGTCGAAAATTAAACGCGATCCACGTTTATGTTGCAGGCAACGAGGAAGATTTCAAAATGCGCATACCTGTTCGTCGCCCCGGGCTGGGACTTCTCGAACCCGCTGAATCGGACCAAGGTAAGAGAGAAACGAAGCAAATTTTCTATACAGTCTTTAGCAGTTGTCGTCGAACGAAATCACGTTGATTGTCTTTCATTGATAATATATAATCCACCGTATTTTTTTGTCGGGGATCGATGAAGCGATACTGAATAACTGATAAAATGGATAAAGAGATTAGAAAAGTCGTTGTTTCTATTGATCGTAAGAGATCTCGTCAATCGTCCGTAAGATAATAAGGAATTGAAAGGTAGTTAAGTACTTTCTTCTTGGAAAGCAAATTTTCAACGTTACATTTCAATATTAAAATTTCTAAAAGCCTCTACTCTGCGAAAAGGAATTGGTAATAAACGATTAAAACAATTGAACGATGCAATTCGGATAACTGATTAAAAATTTTCAAGTTAAATTAAACTCCAGACAATAATTTAAATTAAATTGTCATCGATGATCGCTCAATTGTGCAAAAGTATTTCTCGAGAACGAAACAATTTCCCCGCTCGGCGAAGGAACGAGACGTCGCTCTGGTGGCGCAGTTAACTAGCAGGTCCGCGATTCGAGGACACGTTCGAGGACACCGATTTCTCTCTTAGCGACGACAACGGTCGCCGGCGGAAAAAGGGGAATCGCGGCGATAACGCGGCGAGTGGAAATTAATATACCCGTCGTGGTGTGTGTTGAACGGGAGCTCACGATCGGCATAAATCTCGCCGGTCTCGATGAAGGACTCGCGCCACGGTGGTCGAGATCGATCCTCGGCGCGGACGTCCCTGGGGACAGCGAAATCGGCTAGTTGCTCTTATCGATCGGCAAACGGGGAGGGAGGGAAAAATTCGGTACGAAGCGATTAAGGATCGTGCGTCGCGCTCCTCGTCGGAGAAAGTTTAGAAAGGAACGGCCGATCCATAGTTCGCATAGGTCGTAAATATAAAACGAGGAGGAGGAGGAGGAGAAAAAAACCGGACGATCGCTGTAACACAACGATCGAGAACTGTTTGCGGTTCGTAGTCACGTACGTAGACGAGAAATTACCGTGAAACGGGGGAAGAGTACGATCTCGCGTCACGATTTTCGAGAACAGCTGCCCGATCGCGAAGAAGTTGTCATTTTTTTTTTTTTTTTTTTTTTTTTTGGTTGTTTTGGCTGCTGCTGCGATCGATATTCTGGTTCGTTCAGTTTCTACGGTTGCGAAGAAATTTGATGGATGGTTTGTTCTATGGAAAATATTCATAGACACACGTGTTTCGTTAATGTTTTCAAATTTCAATAATTTAACTTTATAATTTAATTGAAACCAGTTTGGAAATGTACGTAGAAATTATAAGATATTTATTGATCTTTGCAAATGTTTTTGGATATTTACTTTATAGAACAAACGTATGTGTGTGTGTTACGTGAAACATTTTGAAATTTTATTAATATTGTAACAAGTTATATAAAACTAATTCCACTAAATATTAGGACTTACTATTAATATTACGGAGTATTACTGAGTATTTTAAATAAGCCTCAAATATTTGTTTGCAACGAATATTTGTGATTTTGACATAGCTCAATAGCTTATAATTTCTCTTATAAATAGTTCAAAAAATTCGTAGCATTTTTACTATTAATTGTCATAAAATAACGAAGTATCACTCCCATTTGATCACTAAAACAAATTAAGAAGAAATATGCGTATGTGCAAGGGTGTAAAAAATAAATATACGCTCACAAATATTCGATGACTGTGACAATGAACCAATAAATCGAACGAGTTCGATCACTGGTGCAAAATCGACAATAGAAAAAATGGGAAGGTAAAAGAGGAGAGGAGAAGAAAATGAAGATCGATCGTCGTCTGCAACGAGATCGAGGAGCGGATCTGCACGGTTATCCTCGCTTTCTCGATAATGAGAAAATTGTGCGGTTCGATCGATCTTGTAACACGATCTCGCGATCATAGACTGTCGATAACGCGGCACGTAGCTCGAGGCATCGGAACGGAAGTGATCGATGGTCCAGACGCGGTATTTCCGATCTCCAACTCCGATCGTTTCACCACGCTTCCGCAGCCTATCCTTAAATACCGCGAGATCGACGCGTAAAAAGGTGCAGAAGGGGTTTCTGGCCTTTCAACAGAGACATAAATTCTTTCAATTAATTCGTAGAAGGCGTCACGGTTGAAATTTTGCAATAATATTGCCGCGATATTTGTATAATTTGATGTTTAGTTGAATTGATTCGTACTTATATAGGTCGCATCTATCTATGTCTGACTCGTACAGTCCTCAACCACTTAATTTCACTATGTTTACTCTATTAAGGAGGAAGCAGTAATTTATCAGAATATTACGAGTCGATCAATTTCTTGAAATTTTACAAAATCATGGCATTAAGAGGATCCTCGTGTAATATTAAAAGTAGAATTTAATAATTTAAATCGACGATCGGACAAAAATTGTAATTGAATTACTAGAGGCATAAATTACGATTATATTGGTAATTTTACGTTGATAATTGATAAATTAGCGCAATAGTAATTTAAACAAATTGACAACTATAATTATTATAGAAAATTAAGTGTATACAGATATACAGGGATTATTAACGCAATATATATGTAATGGATATATTTAACAGTTTCCCTACTCTCTTTATCCATCATCGTTTATTTTTCACTTTATTGTCAAGAACTGTTTACAAAGCATCTCGATTACCTATCATCGATCAAATTTAGTTAAATAACTCAGCGTCAAGTGACAAAAATTGAATTTAAAGAAAGAAATCGTCCAATATAATTAATCTCTATGAAACCATCAGTTAAAAAAAGAGAAATTCTGTTCTTCGAACGCGTAAATTACAACGATCTTTTTGGAACGGTTGTTAGATCGAGGGATCTCGTTTAATCGGTGATAGCTGTCGTAGAACTCGAGTCGATTAGAAACGTGTACATGGTTAGCACAGTGTACGTACGTACGTGCTATTGCACGATTCGATCGGCGCCGGTGTCGATGCGTGAAGAGCGAGTTTTAAACGATCGATTATCGAATCGTACCGCGTTGCGGAGAAACGCGCGAGTAGAAAGCGGTTTCACGGACCGGGCCGTGTTTGGCCTCGTTCAACGAAACTCTCCCTTGATTTTCTATGACAGCTGTGACTATTCTTCCGCCAGTTCTTTCGCCCGTTCCGCGAAATAATGGGGATCGCTCTTCCGGTTTTGCGGTCGTCGTTCATCTTTGCTGACACTCTCGAACGGAATAAGGAAGCATCGTGGATGTATCACGGATAATCGTTTTGCTCGGTAGATCGAGGATTTTTACGCGATTTGTAGGAAATTCGAAAGAGATCTGGATCGTCGAATCTGGACCGTGGGAAGTTCGAAGGATGTTAATAATGTGAAAAAGCCTATTATAAAATTATACTATAATTATAAAAAATTATGAAATTCTAAAAATTATATCAGGCTAGTTCTGGTGGAATTTTATCGAAACCTTCGTACTTACTTTCCCTTTTTTTTCTCCTTTTTGTGTCATATAATGCAACACTTGAAAAACAATTGAAAAACGAATTAAATGAACAAATAAGTAGAAATATCCAAAGTACACTGTTTCGAATAATAATATATCAATTATCTACCGACGTTCAGAAAAAAGAAGAAAGAGACACGAAGATAATTTAAAACAAAAAGTTAGCATTACTTCGTGACTAATTTCCCACCGTCATAGTCATTCGTATTGTTCGTCAATGTTGCTCCCTCGGCACTCAATTATTTCTCTTAATGGCGTTTCGAACGGGATACTAAAAATGATTTAATGAAGGTGGATGGAAAACAAGCGTAGCGTAGCGATCGTTTTAATGACCGATAAACGAGCGTCATGGGGTGACGAACGACCCAGAAGCACGGTGGGAATCGGCGGCACTGTGTATTGTCGTTCTCAATAGGCTGAAAACTATCGTTGAAATTACATCGAGCGGGACGCGAGCCTGTAAATCTTGCTCGTTTCACCGCGAGAGACGTCGGAGAAAGTGAATAATTAGAAGGCGCCTTAAGGCCTTAAAGGCCTTTTAAAGCTTAAACTATGAACGACGGTGCGTAACAGCCGTCTTTCTCTCTCTCTCTCTCTCTCTCTCTCTCTCTCTCTCTCTCTTTCTCTCTTTTCGCTTGGTTCAACGTCGTGACGAGACCTTCTTAATTATTGTGGATTTTGTTAATTCGTGCATTCAATCCGGTGACGTGGATTTTCATCGAGTTTATTCGTCTTGTTGCTTTTACTAGACTCGTGTCTGATTTTTACGTGACTTTACGTGGAATTTTCGTGGAGTAATTCTAGTCTCGGACGACGAGGTTTACTTTAGATTTTTGTCTGTTTGCTCAGAATCCTCGAGAATTTTTCAAATAACGAAGATAATTGGTAAACGAGTGGGACGGTATTAATTGAGCGATTCGTTTGTTTGTAATTTTTGACGATTTTGCTTATAATTTTAGAAAATTAAAGATAATTGATCACATGATCTTCGTGGAATTTGTTCATTTTGCTCAGATTGTGAAATTATATGAAAATCGTATTTTAGGAATTACATTTTAGGAATTTTTTTTGTATATAGAACTTTTGATTCGATTATTTGCTTGGAACAGTGAACGATATTTGTGTAATTTGATTCTGGAAATTTTCTGAAGCAATTCGACACTTGGATATAGAATTTTGTTCAGTTTTTCCAAAATTTTTAAGACTTCTAATCGCAATTCTTCCAAAGTGTCTCCTCTCATTTTCATTTTTCGAAAAATATGAAAAATATATTGTATATAAATAAATATTGTTTTCTTCAAATCAAGTGGCTGTCAATGTTGCATCGAACAACAACAAAACACAAGAACTCTGATCTTCGTATATTTGATAGATCTTTGTATTTAAAGCAGAGTCATATAAAACACTGCGGCAGAAACAACGATGTATTAATCACGGCAATGAATTTGTTAAGTCATGGAGCGCATTATACCGCGTGCGCAATAAAGTAAACGAATATATTGCAGTGGC